GACTGGATTACCCACCCAAGATTCAAACCCACATATTTAACTTCCTTGTAAAGTCTCTCATATGCACCTCAAATTCAGCATGTCCCAAATTGAGCGAATATTTTTCCTTCTTCTAAAGTGTTTATTTCTTATGTGTTTCCCATCTCAGAGATGAGCTTTACTTTCTTTCTTTTTTTTGGCATTTTTAAAAATTTATTGTCTAAAGCTTTACATATGTCTCCTTTTTTCCTGCTTGCCACACCCCCTCCTCCGCCCTCTAGCCATTCCCAAGCCTGGCAAGCCCCCACCACCCCAACGTCTGTGTCCATTGGTTATGCTAATATGCATGCATACAAATCATTTGGTTGCACTCTAACCCCTTCCTCCCCTGCCATTTGTCTGGATCTATTCTTGTTCATCAAATTATGTTGATTATCATATCCCACATATGAGTGAAATCATGTGATATTTATCTTTCTCCGACTGGCTTATTTTGCTTAGCATAATGCTCTCCAGTTCTATCCATGCTGCTGCAAATGGTAAAAAATCCTTCTTTTTTATAGTGACATAGTATTCCATTATGTAGATGTACCACAGTTTTTTAATCTATTTATCTGCTGATGGGCACTTAGGCTGTTTCCAAATCTTAGCTATTATAAATTGTGCTGCTATAAACATAGGGGTGCATATATCCTTTCTGATTGGTGTTTCTGGTTTCTTGGGATATATTCCTAGAAGTGGGATTACTGGTTCAAATGGGAGTTCCTTTTTTAACTTGAGAAAACTCCATACTGTCTTCCACAGTGGCTGCACCAGTCTGCATTCCCACCAGCAGTGAAAGAGGGTTCCTTTTTCTCAATACTTGTCATTTGTTGATTTGTTGATGATAGCCATTCTGACAGGTGTGAGATGGTATTTCATTGTTGTTTTGATTTGCATCTCTTGGTTTATTAGTGACTTTGAGCATGTTTTCATATGTCTCTGGGCTTTCTGAATGTCCTCTTTAAAAAAGTGTCTATTTAGGCCCTTTGCCCATTTTTTGATTGGATCGTTTATCTTCCTTTTGTTAAGTTGTATGAGTTCTCTGTAAATTTTGGAGATTAAACCTTTATCTGAAATATCATTGGCAAATATGTTTCCCCATGCATATTATTTTGTTGATGGTTTCTTTCGCTATGAAGAAGCTATTTATTTTGATGTAGTCCCATTTGTTTATTTTCTCCTTAGTCTCCATTGCCCTAGGAGCTGTGTCTGTAAAGATATTGCTATGACATATGTCTGTTATTTTGCTGACTATGAAGTCTTGTAAGATATTTATGGTTTCCCATCTTACATTTAAGTCCTTTAGCCATTTTGAGTTTGTTTTTGTGTATGGTGTAAGTTGGTGATCTAGTTTCATTTTTTTGCATGTATTTGACAAAATTTCCCAGCACCATTTATTGAGAGACTGTTTGACTCCAGTGTATGCTCTTGCCTCCTTTGTCAAATATTAATTGAGCATAATGGCTTGGGTCGATTTCTGGGTTGTCTGTTTTGTTCCATAGGTCTATATGTCTGTTCTTGTGCCAGTACCAGACAGTTTTGAGAACCATGGATTGGTAGTATAGCTTAAAAAACAGGAGGAGAGCCTAGCTGGTTTGGCTCACTGGATAGAGCATCAGCCTGTGGACTGAAGGGTCCCAGGTTCGATTCCAGTCAAGGGCATGTACCTTGGTTGCAGGCATATCCCCAGTAGGGGGTGTGCAGGAGGCAGCTGATCTATGCTTCTCTCTCATCGATGTTTCTAACTCTCTATCCCTCTCCCTTCCTCTCTGTAAAAAACCAATAAAATATATTATAAAACAAAACAAACAAACAAACAAACAAAAAAAAACACAGGAGGAGAGCCTAAGGGAACTTTGGGACAACTCGAAATGAAACAATATCCACATAATAGGGGTCCCAGAAGGAGAGGAAACTGAGCAAGGCATAGGAAACCTATTTGAAGAAATAATGACAGAAAACTTCCTTGATATTGGGAAGAAGAAAAAACTCACAAAGTCCAAGAAGCTCACAGAGTCTCAAACAAGATCAACCCAAAAAGACCAACATCAAGACACATTATAATTAAATTAGCAAACACCAATGACAAAGTAAGAATCTTAAAGGCTGCCAGAGAGAGACACAGAAACTTACTTACAAAGAATCTCCCATCAGACTATCCACTGATTTCTCAATGGAAACACATCAAGCCAGAAGGGAATGGGATGAAATATACAAAGTGATGCAAAGCAAGGGTTTGAATCCAAGAATACTGTACCCAGCAAGGCTATCAATCAAAGTTGAGGGTGAAGTCAGGAGTTTCAAAAACAAAAAAGGACTAAGGAAGTTTATGACCACCAAACCAGCAATGCAAGCAACGCTAAAGGGACTGCTGTAAAAAGAAGAAATAGGAAGGGAAGAAGGAACGTGGGGATAAAGAATAAAAATGGCAACAAACAAGTACCTATCAATAATAACTTTAAATGTAAATGGATCAAATGCCCCAATCAAAGGACATAGATTAGCTGAGTGGATAAGAAAACATGACCCATATATCTTCTGTCTACAGAAACCCACCTCTGAACAAAGGACTCACACAACCTGATGGTGAAGGGATGGAAAAGGTTTTTCAGGCAAATGCAAATGAAAAAAAAAGCTGGGGTAGCAATACTTATATCTGACAAATTAGACCTCAAAGTGAAGGCCATGACAAGAGATAAGGAAGGCCACTTCATAATACTAAAGGGAACAATTCAACAAGAAGATATTAACTCTGGTAAACATATATGCACCCAATGCAGGAGCACCCAAATACATAAAAAAAATAAGTTCTGGAGGATATCAAGGGAAATATTGACAGCAATACAGTCATAGTAGGGGAATTTAATACCCCACTAACACCACTGGATAAATCCTCTAAACAAAAAATCAGCAAAGAAACATCAATCCTAAATGCCTCACTAGATCAGATGGAATTAATTGACATCTTCAGAACATTTCACCCCGAAGTCACAGAATATACATTCTTCTCAAGTGCACATGGGTCATTTTCAAAGATACACCACATATTGGGACACAGGCAAAGTCTCTTCAAATTCAAGAAGATAGAAATCATATCAAGCATCTTCTCAGATCACAATGGCATAAAACTAGAAATCAACTAAAATAAAAACAATGAAAAAAAATCAAACATCTGGAGGCTAAATAGTGTGCTATTAAATAATGATTGTGTTACCAAAGAGATCAAAGAAGAAATAAAAAGCCACATGGCAACAGACAACAATGAAAACACAACAATCAAAAATCTATGGGACACAGTGAAAGCAGTCTTGAGAAGGAAGTTCATAGCTCTGCAGGCCTACTTCAAAAAAACAAGAAATAAATGGTAATAAATTATCTAACCCTATAACTCAAAGAGTTAGAAAGAGAGCAACAAGAAAAGCTCAGCATAAGCAGAAGGAAGCAACTAATAAAAAAAGATCAGAGTGGAGAAAGAGGACATAGAGGTAAAAAACAACAACAAAAATACAACAGATCAACAAAACCAAGAGCTGGTTCTTTGAAAGGATAAACAAGATTGATGAACCTCTAGCCAGGGTCACCAAGAAGCAAAGAGAGAGATCCCAAATAAACAAAATCAGAAATGAAAAAGGTGAAGTAACAACTGATCCCACAGAAATACAAACAATTATGAAAAATACTATGAACAACTCTATTCCAACAAAATGGACAACCTATATGAAATGGACATATTCTTAGAAAAATACTAGCTCCCAAAACCCAATCAAGAAGAATCAAAAATCTGAATATGCCGATAACTACTGAAGAAGTTAAGCAGTGATAAAAAATCTTCCAGCAAACAAAAGCCCAGGTCTAGAAGGCTTTACAAGGGAGTTCTACCAAGCATTCAAAGAACTAAAACCTGTCCTCCTCAGACTATCCCAAAAAATTCAAGAGGAAGGCACACTTCCAAGCTCCTTCTATGAAGCCAGCATTACCCTAATCCCTTTAACCAGATAAAGACACCACACACAAAAAAAATATAACTACAGGCCAATATCTTTGATGAACATAGATGATAAAATTCTCAACAAAATTCTAGCAAGTCGGATTCAGCATTACATAGAAAGATCATACACTATGACCAAGTGGGATTTATTCTGGGGATGCAAGGATGGTACAATATCCGCAAATCAATAAATGCGATACATCACATAAACAAACTGAGAGACAAAAATCACATAATCATATCAATCGATGCAGAAGAAGCATTTGACAAAACCCAACACCCTTTCTTGATAAAAACTCTCTGCAAAATGTAAATAGAGGGATCATACCTCAACATAATAAAAGCATTATATGGCAAACCTACAACCAACATCATACTCAATGGGCAAAAACCAAACTCATTTCCCCTAAGAACAGGAACAAAACAGGGTGCCCATTTTCACTACTCCTGTTCAATATAATACTGGAAGTGCTAGCCATAGTGATCAGACAAGTAGAAGAAATAAAAGGCATCCAAATTGGAAAAGAAGAAGTAAAACTGTCCTTATTCACAGATGACATGATTCTATACATAGGAAACCCCAAAGACTCCATCAAAAAACTACTAGACCTAATAAATGAATTCGGCAATGTAGCAGGATACAAAATTAACACCCAGAAACCTATGGCATTTTTATATACCAATAATGAATTCATAGAAAGAGAAACAAACAAAAAAATTCCATTTACCATTGCACCAAAAAAATTAAGATACATAGGAGTAAACTTAACTAAGTATGTATGAGACCTGTACTCGAAAAACTACAGGACATTGAAAAAAGAGATAGAGGAAGACATAAACAAATGGAAGAACATACCATGTCCATGGATTTGTAGAATCAACATCGTTAAAATGTCCATACTACCCAAAGCAATCTATAGATTCAATGCAGTCCCCATTAAAATACCAATGGCATACTTCAAAGGTCTAGAAAAAACTCTCCAAAAATTCATCTGGAATAAAAAAAGACCCGGAATAGCCACAGCAATCCTGAGAAAGAAGAACAAAGTTGGAGGAATCACAATACCAGAGAGTAGCTCTACTTTCTGCCCAGTTTCTCAAGAGAAATCTTATCATTGTTAGCTCCTCCCTCTCTCTGACTCTTTGTAGGACATTGAGTCTCTGTCAGAACTACTCAACTCTGAAGTTGTAGAGAAAAAAAATTACCTTAGACAATATATAAATGAATGGGCATGACTGTATTCTAATAAGACTTCATTCATAAAAACAGATGGTGAGCCAGATTTGGCCCATTGGGTTAGTTTGCTGACCTCTGGTCTAAAGAGTTCATTTTCACCTTTCCATAGTGCTTGACATCAAGCTTCTCAATAAAAGTTTGTTGGGTGAATAAGTGAATGGTATAAGAACAAATTATGATGGACCTGTTTACTGGTTTTCTTCTGTGGCCATATCTCCTTGGCCACTACATGCTCCACATTCATTCAATGTAGTCAGTGACCCCTTTCCACCAGTGGGGTGGTTTTCATCTGCTGTGCTCATCTTAATATTTGTGTTGAGGAAATATCCTATGTGAAGTTTTGGTTCCTTTGGTGGAAGGGTCAAGTTTTAAATCCTTTGTCACTATTCTCCAACCATCTCTCACAGCACAGACCTTTGGGTTTTTTTTTTTTCTAGGTATGAGTTAAATTTTGGCTTATTCAGATAAGTCAGATTATTAATACAATTTATTATAGACTTTGGTCATTTTTTGTGTGTAGATGTATTTATTCTTTTGTTTCATATACATTTATTTAAACCTTCCTTAAAATCTTATTGGGGCAGGTAGAATATTAGGTATAAAAATCCTCAATTAAATCAATGCACAAAGCACTTAATAATATATACAAGGCACAGGAGAAGTTTAACATGCAGTGGGGACAAAGATAACTCAGATAAGATATTGTCACAAAGAGGCTTATAAGCACAAAGGAGATAAGAGGTGAATAAATAATTTCAATACAATGTAGAGAGTGCTTTGAGGAAAGACTTAGCAACAAACTCTAGGAATTTCACAGAAGTAACATTTATCTTCCACCAAAAAGATCAAAAACACTCTATGAGAGAAGTATTGTACCTGGATATGGAAAAGTGGGTATTTGGAATTTTTATATGGCACTAAAAAGCCCTTGAGACAGAAGAAAGTATAGGCATACTCAGCAGTTACTAGAAAGCAAGTTTTAATAAAACTACGTCCATGGACTTGCTGATAAAAGTGCAGCCAAATCCCTTCTAGAAGGTGCCAAGTCCATTCTGGTCTGGAATGCATTGATAATTGGGACATTATGCTTAGAGACTGCAAACTGACATTCTGTCGTCATCCCTCTTGGAATAGAAACCCTGATCCTTTAAAATAATTAGCATTAATTTGGTGCATGTGTGCAAAAATAAATCACAAGTGTCCAAAACCAGAAATGTTAAGTTCAATGGTTATGTTCTCATTAGCTCCGCCTATGTAAACAAAATTAGAAGCAATTAACATTTAAAAATAGAAAAGACAAGGAGAGTTCACAGCTCCCAGTGGAAAATTATTATTTATATAAATGCCCACAAAGCTGACTTCCTCTCACCCTTCCCGATGTCAATCATGTTATTTCTATGGATAAAGAATCAGTTTTCTTTCCTGAGGGTTAGGAGGGAGGATTGTGATTCTATGCATGTTGTCCTGGTTGAAATTGGAAGTGTGTATGTCCTCTAGCAAAGAAATAAGTAGGTCTCCATCACCTCTACCCTACCTCTATATTGTACCTCACCCATTCTCTGTATAGGCAAGAAGTGAATTTGCTATGGCTCAAGACTGTCAGCAGAAACCCACTTCCATGAAACTATGCTGGTGTTTGCCAATGGGACACCTGCCTGTTGCAGAAAGCCTCAATGTCCCACCTGGAAGAAGGGTGACAGATCTCATGAACTCACCAAGACACACTTTGAAGTGGCCCTGATGTGCTCTGTAGGATATGGGCTATCTCTGTGAAGGATGGAGCCTTACTGCGGACAACAGGTATCAGAATGGGGAGAGAAACTGGTCATAGGGCACCTGGGGAACTGAGGCAGGGATGTGGACACACTGAGTGTAATACAGAGCCCTGGCAGCTGGCTCCGCAGGGCTCTGAGTTCTAGCTGTATCACGAACTTGCTATGTGAACTTGGCTAAGCCACTCTTCTTTATGGGCCTAATTTTCCCCAATCTTAAAATTAGGAGCTGAACTGGCTTATCTTCTTGCTTCATTCCACACAGTTTTTTGTTTTTGTTTGTTTTTAAGATATAACTCAAGCCTTTTATCTGCCTCTTTCCATCTACTTGACTGGAAAGATGTGGTGAATGGTAGGTTGGGGGTGAGGTGTAGGACTCAAATATTTTTCTATTCCTCATTTATAAAATGTGTGAAAATATACCCCACATTTTCTCCCCCAAAATACTGTTGCTTTAGGAATTCGGGACTGATAATGGAGGACACAGAAGATTCAGTTGCAGGGTCATGACAGAACCCACCAGTTGGCTATCCATCTGGGAAACAACATCACTTTTAATGTTGATGGAGCCTTGGAATAAAGGCTAACATAAAAGGGATTTGTTCAAAGTGGCATTTTAAAGACAACTATGATTCAACCTCTTGGTTCTAAATCCTCTTTCTACCATGTCTTTCTTCTTCTGTCTGCAGTATGTCTGATCTGGAATCAGGGCTTAAGGGGAATCAGGACTGATGAACATATATCAACTTCAAATAAAAATATCAGAGTTTTGTGGAGGTAGAAAGCAAGTCAAATCTTTGACCATTAGTTTTTGTTAATACTTTGCTCATTTTTTTCATACTTCCCCCCCCCCATTATAATTAGTAACAGTTCTCCTGAGCATTTTGCATATACAGTAGTCAGTCCCCCTTTATTCACAGTTTTGCTTTCCATAGTTTCAGTTACCTGTGGTCAACTTCAGTCCGAAAATATTAAGTGGAAAATTTCACAAGTAAACAATTCATAAAGTTTAAATTGTATGTTATTCTGAATAGCATGATAAAATTTCCCTCTGTCCCACTCAGTCCTGTTTGGGGTGTGAAACATTCCTTTGTCCGGTGTTTCCATGATGCATACACTGCCCATCCATTAGTCACTCAGTAGCCATCTTGGTTATCAGATTGACTATCCTGGTATCCCAGTTCTTGTGTTTAGGTAACCCCTATTTTACTTAATAATGGCCCCAAAGCAATAGAGTAATGATGCTGGCAAGTCAGATATGCCAAAGAGAATCTGTAAAGTGCTTCCTTTCAGTGAAAAAGTGAAAGTTCTCAAGTTAATAAAGAAAGAAAAAACTGTATGTTAGGTCCAAGATTTATGGTAAGAACAAATCTATCTGTGAAATTTCCTACTTTAATTTATAAATTAAACTTCAGCATAGGTATGCATGTATAGGGAAACCCATGGCATATATTGGTTCAGTACTGTCATTGGGTGTTTTGGAATGTAACTCCTACAGATAAGGGGGGAGACTACTGTACACAAATGTTCTTTTATTGCTGTTTTCTGCAAAAATTAAGGACTCAAATGTCTTCTTTTGTATCTTTACATATGCTAGTCTGTTTATATTCCAACACCTTATCCATACTGTCCTTGGCAATTATCCAAGCTTTTCTAATTTGCCTGAGTACTGATCCATGTCTTCTGTTAAGTCATAATGTCTTTGAGAACTAGAAACATTTTGTATCTCAGTTCCCAAACCCAGAGATGCTACTGCTCAATTATGTTAATTTAATAAATTAATGGAAGAGACACTTCATCTGTATCCACACCATGTCCTAGAAGCCCCTCAGAGTGGTGATAAGCTTAGCAGGGGCCTTCATTTCAACTTTTATGAGGAATTAGGAAAGACTATAGAATGGGCAGATCTCCTTACATCTTTATGGCTGTAAATTCAAAGCACTTATTCATGACCACCCAGAGGTGGCCAGAGTACGCAGAGATACCCTGCCCAGACTTAGAAAATGGGGGTGGGGGAGAGTAAGAACTGCTCTTTGGGTTGCCCTTCTCAGCTTGAGGCATCCTAGAGCCAACCTCCCTCTGGCTTGGCCAGGGGCCCAGGTTTGTTCTCTGTGTATCAGCATTGGTCAACCTGACCCTTGGAAGAGAATCCTGGTAAGGGTCAGGCGCCAGGGGTGGTACCTCAAACAATTTTTGAGTAGAGTGGGAGACTGTGTGGCCTCTTTGCTCAGAGGCTTGGAGGAGAAGGTGGGGGAGATAATACAAAAAGTCATCTGACTTCCTTCCAACAGTGCAGGCAGAAGAGCAAAGGGGAGGCTTCTGCAATGCTGGTGAAGAGAAGATGGCATGAAGATGAGGAGGGAAAGGAAGTCCTTGTGGACAGGACAATGAGGAAGAGTCTAAACTCAGGGTGTAAGAATGAGAGACAGAAGTTAAGAAAGACTGAGAAGAAATAAACATAGGAAGCAAGAGAGGAAAGCAGGGAGGAAGGAAGGAAGGAAGGAAGGAAGGAAGGAAGGAAGGAAGGAAGGAAGGAAGGAAGGAAGGTTGAAATGAGACAAAGAGAAAGGCACAGACATCAAGAAAGAAAAACAGAACTAGAAAGAAAATAAGAGAAACATTTGGAGAGAGAAAAGAGAAGTGGGGTAGCAATGAAGGCATGTGGGTACACACACAAGACATGGACAACTCAAAGTCTGCCTGACCTTCTCAGCTCAGGTAACTGTCTTTGTGAGCCTGGCACAGGGAAAATCTGTACACAAAGGAAATGTGCTGACTCCTGCTCAGGGTCTGTCAGAGGATAGAAACAGATCAATGAACTTGGGTGGGGCTTTTCTATGCCAGGACTGGCACTGCCAGTTCTCAGTGCCCAGACAGGCCAGGCCAAGGACTTTCACAAGATCCTTATGCTATTAAAGGGCCATTACCCGCAAGGCAAAATCAGCCTTTTACTTGGAGAAAAACGCTCTTTCTGTGCCAGTGTCACCTCCCCTGGCCCAGATACCACCTCTCTGGCAGGCCCTGGCCCAAACTCAGTTAGATGTCACCCCTCAGCCTGGAAAAACTGGACCTTATGAATCTGAACAGGCTTCAAGAACACTCCAGGGACCAGCACAGCCTGGTATATACAACTGATGGAATGACCCTGAGACATGTTTGTGGGCAGAGCAAGAGGCATCTAGAGCAGAATGTTCCCATAGATCTTGGACCACTAGATGCATTTTATAGGGAGAAAGATTTCAGCTTCAGTGTCAGGAAGGACTTTGAAATCAAAGCTAGACAAAAGCTGGATTCATTCATTCATCAATTCAGTATTTACCAATAATTTTTGAGCATCTACAATGTGTGGGACACTGTGTTAGAAGCTGAGGACACGGAGATAAGCAAACACATTTGGGCTGTGGGGGGAGAGTGATGGCAACACTATTTCCTCTACCCAATGTAACAGAAGGAGCTCAGAGGGGAGTGTTAATTAATTCTGCTTTGAGGACAAGCAAGATTTTTAGGAAGGGCACATTTGAGCACAGCTTTAATGGTTGTATAGGGCCCTTGAGGCAGAGAAAGTAGAGGGATCCTAGACCAAGAGAGGCACAGAGAAGAGCTGGAAGGTGTAGGAATGCAGGGCTCATCTGGAGGATGAATGGTGGGACAGGCAGCCTGGGAGAAATGAGGGTGGGGTGGAGGTGGGCCAGGTGAGGACAGACATTATAAGGGTACAAAGTCACCAGCATTTTAGTCAGAAGGGAGCTTAGAGATGATGAAAGCCATCTTTGTCATTATTTTATTTTTTAAATTTTGTATGTGAGTGTATGTGTGTGAAGTAGACTTTGTTGGAGGATGCCTGGGGTTGGACACAGAGGAAAGGACATGACAGCAACTCCAATAATTTCGAACCAAATATGTTAGTCCTTTTCTCATAAGAGACCTACTAGGATATTTTCATTGATTTATTTACCTCCTGTGGTGGCCCAAACCTCCTACCTTCTCAGTAGGTTTTCTCTGTCTTTCTTCTCATCTTAAGTCTTCATCCCTCTGACTGCCCCCGACACGGTAGATTTGCTGTTAGGCCTCCTCTTGGTGATGGTAAGCAATCCAAGAAGGAAAGGGCCTCCTGTTTACCCAGATCCTCCTCCCTAGAAGGCAGATGTGAGTTTGTATTTAAAAAGTTCTAAAAGGACAAAAAATTAAACATTGACCTTACGAAGTTTTTAAAAAATTACATAATGAAGTTAAAGTTTCTTCGTTTAGTCTGTTAGCATTTATCAGTCAACTTAGTTTCCTAAGTTAAATCAAATATATATCTCTCTACATAGATATACATGTACACTCACACACATATTTATGGAAAAGAAATTATGCCTTACATACTGATCTGTTTTTTATTTAAAAATATATTGTGAAAAAAACTTCCAACTTCATAACTCATATGCATTCTAGTCCATAGACTAGATATAACATAAGTGTCTAGCTATTTTTCTGTTGATAGCCATTTATGATGATTTCACCTGTGTGCTTTTACAAATGATGCTGCCACAGACATCCTTGCACATGCACCCTTCTGTACTCTTGTTATTATTTCTATAGGCTAGATTCCCAGAATTAGGTTGTTAAATCAAAGACTATGCACATTCTAAATCTTACTGGGAATTACATCATTTCTTTTTTTAAAAAAATATTTTTATTGATTTTAGAGAGGAAGGGAGAGGGAGAGGGAGATAGAAACATCAATGATGAGAGAGAATCATTGATTGGTTGCCTCCTGCATGGCTCCTACTGGGGATCGAGACTGCAACCTGGCATGTGCCCTTGACCAGAATCGAACCTGGGATCTTTCAGCCCCCAGGTGGATGTTCTATCCACTGAGCAAAACTGGCTAGGGCTATATCACTTTTTTTATAAAGGTTAGTTCACACTGTAACAGGCCATTGACATGGGAGTGCCTCTTCCACACTTGCTCTCCCTCTGGAACTGCCTCATCGTTTACAGAGATGAAGAAAGGGAATAGAGAGAATGATCAGTTGTCTAATA